GGAGAAGCTGAAGCTGGGTAACAACTCATGGCTGCAGCTTTACTTCTGGGGAGCCATTATCTGAAGGCTTTAATTTCTTCTCTCAGTAATTGATCTGAGGACATTGGAGCGAGTAGCACATATGTCAGACTGTTTTCCTTCCTTCTTGCATTTTGGCAGAGTCTCCCCTGTGGAGGAAATTAATAAATTTCAGGGTGACATTTCCTTCTTCAGCCAAAAGAAGAAGGAAAAAAAGCCTCCAGGTTCTTTTCACGCTTTAATTTTAACATTTTTTTTAAATCTTTCTCTGAATAAAGGAAATGTCCTTTGTCAGAAAAGCAGAAGGTGGGAAATTTCCTAATTAGTGCAATTGATATGCATTGTGATCTGCTGAATGCATGTTATTTGTGTACAGACACATTCACACAGGTATATAGGATGATCATGAATGTACCTGTATGCTAAGTGCAAATTTAGAAAGAGAAAGATGAATTACTTGGGAGGTGCAAGCAGCTGCAGTTCTGATGGGCACAATAAAAATCTGTGTTATTAACATAAGCAGACTATCAGTAGTTATAGCTAGGACATTTTTTATAAGCCAGCTTTGCTTCATTACTTCTATTTCACCATCATTTTGACTGTTCCCTTTTCTTTATGCTGATGTATGAATACTGCTTTATTAAAAGAAGGAACAGTTGTTTTAATTTTGGAAACCACTCTCTGATGCACTACAAATGGTCAGCAATCCACAGACTGTGGGTTAGGCACTACTACACCAGGGAGCGTATCTCATACTCACCCCCACAGCTGTTGTGGTAAACTTCACTAAAGGATCTGAAGCTGACACCCATCAGAATTGGGATCACAGCTCTCAACACCAGGCCCTCCCAGCCGCTGTGAGTTGGGTCCATTGATGGCACAGCACCCAGCATTTGCTGGTCTGACTGTGCCTGGCTCTGCTCCTCTTTTCACTTTCTACTTCTCCCTGTGTTGCAGTGCTGTTACTAAGCATTTCAGATAGCTGTCTGGACATCTCAAAGAGGCAGCTGAGGTATTAACAAAACATTCCTAATACATAAAAGCTGTGTTTATGTATTATTTCACTGTGTAGTCCTGCATTTTACACCATTTTCTGGCCATGCTTCTTAATAAAACAAACACTGAAATCGCTTTGAGTTGAAAACTGACATTTGTGTTGAAAAGGATTTGTAATGTGATTTAATTGCTTTATGTAATTGAAAAACAAAACAAAACATCGCTGTTATGTGCTATAAATGATTCCTTTGTCTTCTACAAAATTTAATTTGTTTACATGCCCTGCAGCCATACTGAGAGAACAGAATAAATGGCAGTGCCTCTTCGGGTCTATTTGAAAAATGAGTTGGGAATGGGAGAATGAAAGTGGCCAGAGGGCTATGAGAAGGAAGAGACGAGTGCTGAGATAAGAAGTAGCTTAAGGGAAGATTACAAGTCCTCAGAAAAAGAAATCAATAATGGTGTTACCTATGCAGCTGCAAATACAACTGTTTGTATTTTGAAAACTTTCTCCCCTTGTTCATCACTATATCCGGTACATCTGGAATGCTCCCTGTCCTTTTGAAAGGGCAGTGTTTAAATGAAAATGTAAGACCCTGAAGATGCCAGGATAATATAGGAGCACTGGAAACACCTGCTCACCTTCTTGTCCCATTGCTTGTTCAGTGCGATGCAGGATCTGAGACTGCTGTAATTCACAACTTAAACAGCTTTCCACTCATGCTGTCTCCTACTTTTTCCTTTTTACCTCCCTAGACCTTTCACCTTTTGACTCCCCTGGGAAACCATGATGAATTTCCACCTGGAAATTTCAGGCTCTGTATTAGATAGTCTCTTTTTTTTGTTTTTGCTTATGGCCTTTCCTCCCCACCCTCTGAGACTTCTGACAAGGTCAAACAATCTATCTTTGTTTCTATGTTTATATCCGGGAAGCTCCCTCTGGTAGCACAATAGCATTTCAGATAGGACAGTTTGATGAAAACTGTAGATAAGAAAAATCCCCAGCCTGGTAAAATAAAAGATATGAAGAGAAATGAAAACAGTGTTCACACAAAATAAGTATCACTAGCTACTTTGGGGGTTCTGACCACAGAGTGCACGCTAACAAACAGCTCCACAGAATGTAAGCTGTCCTAGACAATGCTCTGTGCTTCATCTTGCTGACCTATTGAAAGAGAGACTAAAGTGTCATTGTTATATATTTTGCACTCCAGAATGTAGCAATAGCAAAGGCTCGCACCCTAGGCACACATGAAGTGAAAATGCAATGACCGAGTCTAAGAAAGTCAATAAACACTAACTGGAAAGAAGAAGTTCAGGGGCCATTGAAAGCAGTCTTGTATAGTTGAATATAATAATTACTTATTAATTATATTACTTATTAATTTATTGTATAAATTATATAATTACTTATTATATTACTTATTAATAATATTAATAAAAAATACATTAGATGATAAGGGAAAAACTCAAACACAAAGGTGTGAAAACAGAATGCTAGGAGTGCTTATAGGGAATATGGTGAAATAGCAGCCAAGGGGATCAGGAAGGAAGGCCTGAAAAGGAGGGAAGTGCAGGAAAGGAGGAAATGAAATCACAGGCAATGGGTATAAAAATGCCTCTTAAGTACTTGAAGGCAAATGTAAAAATAGTAATGGAAACTCTCTGGAAAAGAAAAAAGATTAGCTATGAGCATGAGAAATGTAGAAGAACGCCATAGCAATAACAGAAATGGAAAAGTAAAGCAAGCAATGGTTTCTCTGGGCTCAAGCTAGAACACTGACCACTTTGTGCAAGAGTTAGTGCTTGCTTATGGAATTATGTGGAATTACTGCTGTGTGACGCTGCGTCCAGAAAAATTGGCGTCAATGTGAATTACAGCCACCTGTTGTTCTGGAAGTTCAAGCTTCCATTCTTTGCTGTTTTGTTTACAATCATCATGTTATTTTATCTGGAAATAATGAAATTATGTTACGATATAGTCCAGATCCAGTTTTGGATTGAAAATATCCCTGATCAACTGAAAAGATCCTAATTAAAAAACCCAGTCACTTGAAAGATGGAATGTCATATGAGTCTTTTCACCTCCGAGCTACTGATCTTCCTCTGGAACTGAACCACCAAATTTTGAGTTTCTATTTCCACAGCATCCTACAGTGTGTAAGCAGTGATGCGAGCAGTCTGCGTATCTCCATTTCAAGCATATAAGCCACGTAGTTTCTGTTCATGGGAGAAGTTTTAGAAGTTGGTTATGAAAACTCTTCTATTTCAAAGGCTGTTTCAAAAGACCATTGGGAAACTTGGCTAACCCGATTGTGGGTATGATTTAGAGTCACCTGGGACTGCTCTGAGCTATCTGCATGGGAGCAGCCTCTGGCAGGGTCCCTGCTGCTATGACTGTAAGAGATGGAGATTCCTGCCAAATCTTTGCTTTGCCCAATCCACCCACAGCCCTTCTATAGCTATTGCCCATAGTGCAAACCCCGACAGTCCTCATCAGGAGGGCTAATGCAGGGAAATGGACTCAGCTGTGCATACTTTGCTTCCTTCCCTTAGCCTCTCTTGCCAAAAGAGCATAGTAGGTTTCCTTTGTGACATCCTTCTGTGGAGACAGTTTGAGTGGGCTCTAGCTGATCTTTGGATTTTCTTTTCATTTCTCTGAGGAAAATAAATATACAATCAGGATTTTCTACTATGAAAATGCAATCTCTCTGTAGTAACACACAGAGCCATAGCTGCAAAGATAACATTTTTTTCCACTTTCCTTCCCCACTTTGCCTTTTCTGGTACAAAATCCTAATCTTTACAATGTTGTTAGCATTCAAAAGCGAATTGTCTGAATCTGTTTTTCCTTATTATTTTGAATTCTCATAGGAACTGGCCTGCAATGTAGTACAGGTAGTAAAAGCTCTAATAATATCACTTCTGGTTTTGTTTTGTATTTTCATTAGGAAAGTGGATCTAATAAGTTAGTAACGTAAGGAATTATTTGATGTCATCAAAACCTCAGAAATAGATACAACAGAATGACCTCAAGAATCCTGTTTTTTCTCTGGCTGTCAAACTGAGCGATTTCTCCTGAGCACTATCAAAGACCATTAAAATCTCTTTCCCACTTTCCTCTTATCTCTAACTGGGGACACTCATTTGCAAACACCTTTATGACTCTTACCCACAAAACTTCCTTATCTAACTGAATGTGAATCACTTCAAAAGGAGGCACATTTCTCCTGGCAACCAAAGCAGCAGCCTTAGCAACAAGACAGCTGGAGAATTTTATTTTCACTTAGTTACTTGTGGACAGTATGTTCTGTTTCTGCTTTCCCATGGCATTGCTCTTTCAGTGCTGATTTAGTATTGTGCTAGAAATGGTACAAGTCAGTCACTGGCGCACAGCAGAGACATCGCTTGCAGGGCAGCTGATGATCTTTATGCCTATGATGCTGTTTCCTCTGAGAAACTGAGTACTGGCTAATGGAAAGCTCAAAATGTGAATTTCCTCCATAACAGAATTACTACAAAGAAACATGTGAGGAAGCTGATGGTTTCCAAAACCTTGACTTCCCCCCACAGAAACCATAACAGAGAATGATATTAAAATATTAGCTCTACAGGCTCACATCACAGCCTGTATTAGCATCTGTTGATGCTGAGAACAGTTTGGAAGGTTGTTATGAAGTGACTTACACTGATTTTCTTAACAAGAATAATTTTGGGAGGAAAGTTAAAGTGGGTGGAAGTGGAAAAATCAGAGCAATCTTGGGTATTACTTGGGCTAATGTCTTTATAGAGCTGTTGAGGACGCTCAACAAGAAAGCAATGCTATGATGGCATTTATCAACAGACTGCTATCATGATAGCTTTCCTGCCCTAATCCTGCATGTGTGTAAGGAAATGAGTTACATGTTTTAATCTTACTAAGAAATTGAATTTACAGGTAAAAATAATAAATGCGTTCACACCTTCACCTGAGTCTCCTCTTGCAGGGGCTGTTGATATCCTGCGTGCTGGTTTGATTCCCTTACTCATACTCAAATTGAAGACTGAGTCAGATGAAATCCAGGAGCTAATCCTAGGCACACTCTCCAACTGTCTGCGTGTGGAAGCTTCTGAAGCTTTGGCAAATGATGCCATCACTGTTCTGAAAGAAAAGCTCACGCATCCCTCAGTGACCATCAGAAGCAAAGCAGCTCAGGTCGTTTTAGAAATCGGGTAATGCAAATCTATCGTACTTAACCCCCCAAAATACTAATTTCATGGCTGCATCAAGTCACATTTCACGCATTATATCAGCCTGTATGCACATGCAGATAGAAGACTTCTTAAAGCGATGACTGCCACATATCACTCAGAAAGCAAAAGTTGATGAGAAGTCATTCCTTCTCCTCCTATTTGTCTTTCTATACTAGCAATGAAATCAGAGCTTTTCCTGGTACAGTATCACTAGGAAGAAAAGCTTGCATGAGAAATCACGGGCAAACAGGTAGGGAGCCCTTACTTTACAGTGCAACTGCTTCCTCAAAAAATTAAAGGTCTTCATATTAAATTTGTATATTAAACTGGGTGAAAGTCCATTGCCTGACAATCACACATAAAAGTGCTCAATGGATATCTAGCTTAAAAAAGTCTGCAAATTGTGCTGTTGGGATAATAACTGGCACAAAAATCTTCTTAATTTCCAAAATTAAGGTCTTAGAGAAAGAGACTGTAGATACAGTGAGTGATAGAAAAAAGTCAGGCATTGACCTACAGAATGGACATCCTCTGCTTTCTATGTCACTGCAATAGCAGGACAATGTTAAATATTCCCCACATTAAAGAGGCCGGAAAGAAAGAGATAATTGACCTAGAAAAAGAATTCCTTGCAGGCCACCAGCAGTTGTTTTAAATCTGTGTAGGATTCAACACCTAGGTTTCCAACTAAACTGCCATTAAGACCAGCAGCACTTCTTTCTGAATCCTGTTCCTCATTGCAAGTTTCCTGCAATTTTCCATATGCCATAACAGTAAAAAAAAAAAAAAAAAAAAAAAAAATCCAAACACCACCTTAAAATAGCCTAAAAATTGTTAAATGTCTGTATGTAGGTTAATATGATACAATCTGTGATGTATCAGCAAGTAGACTTAACAGACCAAGTATGAACAAACATCCCCTCTCTCTTTGTGACCAGGCCACAGTGCTTGCCATCTGTCTAACAGTCGGAACATTTTGACTCCAAAGAGAACGGTACAGAGGGCCATGTCAGCCCTGCTGTCAGGAAACAGAGGGCTGCTGCAGGGGGCCAGGCATGGGGAGAAGCTGTGGGTGGTGACATGTTAGCAGATATCATTCAAGGCAGCATCTTAACTGTCTTTTCTACACAGTACTCATCCAGAGGGAAAAAGCACAGTGTGTGAAGAGGTCTTTCCACTACTGGTGAGCCTGTTAGAAGATACAGATCCTGAAGTCCAAGCTAGTGCAGCAGGAGCACTGATGTTTGCTACCATTAAACCTAAGGGTGAGAGGAAGAGGCGGGTCTGTTGGGCTGCTTCCTAGAAATCCAATTTTAAGGAAACTTAAAAACAAAATCTGTGCCCAATCCCTGTCCCCAATCCCACAGATCCTCAGTTTCAAAAAGCATGAGATCTGTACAAGGATTTGTAAGATTAGGACATTTCTTTACATCTGTCTAAGAACAGTTGCTGATACCCTTATGCCTAGAGATTGCAGTATATTCCACATTCCATTTTCCTGACGTACATAAATAATTGCCCAAGCTGCGTCGTTTCCCTCCAGAGTGCTGCAGCAGAGGGGAACATTTTCTGTACACGTCCAGAGATCCAGATACCTGCTCAGAATCAGTCCTACCAAGCACTACTTCCTGGAAACCTTTTTTGTGGTTAGAGGCAGTTTCTCTCTCACAGCTAAGAGAGGAGAGAATATTATTAATGCCTGTTGTTCTCTCAAGTAAGTTACAAGACACTGAAAACACTAACTGCTGAATGTTCAGTGTGATGAGTGAATAATTAGAATTAAAAGACTCTTAATAACAGTAGCTGTGTTCCAGTCCTCCTCTGTAACTGTCCCCCCAGTTTCCAAAAACAACACAGGCATGGATCTCTGTGTTTGAAATGTCTTTAAAAATAAAAGAATGGAGGATGTTCTTAGTGGCATCTAATTCCCCCCGAAACAGTTTATCCTATCATTTGGTACCTCGTACCTCCTTAGATGTTGAAATGAAATCACAACGTGCAAAGCACGTAATGTTTACTGAGAAAGATCTATTTCCATACAAATAAACAGCTCGCTGGCAGCTAGCTCAGGTCTGGAAAATCAAAGCATGTCCTGTGTCACACCACACTGGGGTGTTCAAAGCTGCAACTGGGCAGGAAGTCAAGAGCAGCAATTCAAAATCTTGTTGATTATATGTAATAATACATTTTAAAACCAGTTTATTTTTCTACAGGGAGATGCTTAGCTCTACGTGCTGAAGCCATTCCACGGTTACTGAAGTTGGTTGCTGAGGAAAACAGCAAAGCCCGTCTGAATGCAATTAAAACCCTCACCATGCTGGCAGAAGTAGCTGAGGGTCGCAGGAAGCTCCTAGAACATACAAACACGTTTCAGCAGTGCCTAAGGGACCCCAGCGAGGCAGTGAAAAGAGCTGCTGAAATTGCCATCAGAGTCATCCAATGGAAACCTTTCTGAAGATGTGGTGTTTCACAGAGATCTATTGCCCCCTGTTGTTGCCTCGCTGTAAAAGTTGCATGATTATATGCAATGTTCAAAAGCAAAACTCTACTCTTCTTTCATCCTAAAAAGTCATTTGTCAACGGTCTTATATCTGTGTTACAGGTCACTAGGAAAGTAATGGAGAAAAAGAAAAGCTAACAAGTCTAGCATTCTCCACCAGGAGTTATCTCCTGAGGTACCATACCAAGATTTTCCTGAGATATAAGGAACTGGAGTTTTGCTGCAAATGCATGTTGAGCACAGGATTAGAACCATTTAGAGCATCACTGTTGGAAAAGCAATGACAATGTCACAGACTTTTCTGGGGTAACACCTGGTAACACTGTAGTGGGAACAGAGCCCCTAATAAAAGAGGCTCTGTTTAGTTAGAGTATGAAAGAAACATGCCTCTACATCTGTGCTATTACCTGGTACTTTGTAGTTTTGTACAGCTGTAGTCTATCCTCTAATGAAGAAAATCAACAAAATGGAGGTGCTGTGCCAGAATGAAGGAGTTCTACTGCTGTGGCTCATTTTAAAGGGATGGGAATAGATCAAGAGGAAAGCCAACCCCATACAGTTTAGTCCAACAAGATTTGGACAAGACAGTCTCCAGATGTTCCTTCCATTAGTATTCTGTGATAAACAGCTGCCTGAGGAGAGAGATGAGGAGCTAAACAAAACAGAACTGAAAATATCAGTTCCCTACTTTGAAAAAAGCATGTATTTTTTCTCCTTTTTTTCCCACTTCTAATTCAATGGTTATAAAAAAAAAAAGACTTTTACTTTATAGAATTGAATATAACATCAAAAGTTCAAGCTGTCTGAAGCAAGCTTATCCAACAGGACATAAATTGCCTGAAGGAAAATAAGGCAGTTTCTGATTTTAGAGCTGATGAGCTGAACTGGGGAAGTTCAGTAGCATTTTACTCACCATGTAGTCAAGGTAGATCACTACTGATATTGCAAATTTCTCTGCATTTGTTAGTATGTAACATAAGAATCATCAACAGAAGGCCTGGCAAGACAAATCCTGCCCAGTAGAAGTGCTCAAGACAAGAATCACTGTGCAGCTGACTGAAATTCCCAGGAAAGCCCACATTTCCACTCAGGTTTTGCTGTTGAATAGCATTCTTCTAGGAAGAAGTTACCATGGCTAAAAAGAAGCTGCACCATCGTGCAGATGGGGTTGTTTGTCATGCTGCACTTCCACTGCAGAAGCCCAGTGTTCCTCCCACTGTAAAGCACAGTCTTATACTAGCCACTGTAGGTGTGATTAAAGTTAAAAGATTTCTCTTCCATAACCTCACCAGAGGGAGAATTTCCTCTCCTACAAAGATGTGATTTAAAAGCATTGAATCAGATGGATTCATTCCCTCTGGGCAGGGTCTTGCAGGGGCTCTGCCTTTTCAGCACACTTTATGTACATAAGGCACTCACATGTAATAGATATAGATGCCTGAGTGCACCCAGTTCAATAAGAGAGAGACAGGCAGCTTAATAACAGGGAAACTGATCAGCAAAGGACTGGGGAACAAGAGAGAACAGTAGTTTCACCTACATTTACAAAACTGCTGCAGGAAAATGCAGTAACAATCATTTTAGCTCAAGCATCTGTCACAGCCTTCCCCCCTGTAATTCAGGTATCGCATTTCAGCGAGTTAGCAAAATAATTATCTTGCTCAGATGAAGGAATAAGACCATCCACACTGAACTGCTGTGACAAGAAGAAATTCAGCTGACTTGGACCTTTAGTACCACATCTGAGCTTCTCTCTGATAGTTGCTTTAAAGAACAGTATGAGCTGTTTCCAAATCAGACTCTGCCATGGCATCTGTGTCTTGTCTTACATAAATGCACAGTGCAAGAGCGGAGCAAAGCCTTACTGAGCTCTGGAGTGAGAGTGCCAGCCTCTTCCTGAATCTCCCTGCTTTGGCAGTGACTGGAAGGCAGAATACAAGCTTACAGCTCTGAGACAGTAGTTAGGAAAGAAAGCAGTCAGGAATAACTCATTAAAAAAGATTAAAAAAAAAAAAAAGAGGAGTGGCAAAAAACCAGAAATATTCAGATTTGCACAGAATGTGTTTGAAAGAGAAAAACAAGACAACGAAAGCCTAATGGCATGTACAGAAGTTATCAGGTAAGCAAGAATTGAGTAGAAAATACACAGAACATAGCTGGATTTTTTAGGTTTCAAACTCTCAGTATTTTTAGTTTTCATTGTTAAAACTTTCATTCTGTAATTTAGCATATAATCACTTAATGGCTTTTCTTACCTAAAATAAAAAAAAATCCTTATGATAAAGGATTTACTTTCTCCTCTGAGGTACATTACATCTCAAATCTAACAGAGAACAGGGTGTATCAAACCTACACAAACGCTGATGCGTATGCTAACCCAAGGTATCCTTCAATCTCAGCAAGACTTTTACTTCTGTCAGTTATTGCTTAATTGCTGAGTATCACCTTGTCCTTAAGGCAGAGCACAAAAAGAAAAATGCATATGAAAACTCTTTGACGAGTGACATTCTGGTGAAATGAAAAGGTCTCCTATAATAGCAAGTCCAGTGGTAGGAACAGTTTTGGTCATATTCCCCATGAATTTCCCCAGCAAGACAACAACACCGATGTTACGTGGTCCTAAATGGACAACCTTGAGAACAGAGAGATTTCTAGGAACATTCCAACCTATATTCCATGATTCCACATCACAGATTTAGTCCTAGACGTGTTTGTTGTGTCCCTTATATATGAGAAGTGCCAAGGCTACTATAGCTAACTGCTCACTTTGAGATGAGCCAACAGATCTTAATCTGCACAGCTTCACAATTAATTGGCACTCCAGACATCAGTAAAATGGTTGGATCAAAGAAACACAGCAAAATGACTGACAAACACTTCCCTCTGGACTGACCCAACTTCCAGTCAGTTATACTCAATAATAAAGTTGCAACAGACTCGGTCACCCAAATGCTACTATCCTTTTGTATTTCTTCATACGTGTTACAAACACTTCAATTAACATGTTAGGATCTGGCACTGCCACACACTATAATTAAACTCATTACTTCAAAAGAACACTGAGCGTATAACAAGTCTTCAGCACTTACTGCTCCACAGAAAGTCTGCAATGACAACATCAGCACCTCAGCTGATTTGAGCATCAATGGAAAATGATTAGCCTTTCTGGCTTGAAGCCAACAATGATTAAGGCCCAGATATAATTAATGTTCTAGGTCGATACTGGAATTAATTCACTTGTGCCCTGCACAGATCAAGCTTTCAAGTCGGCTGCCTGACATCTCCCAGTGACATCAGCAGAAGAACAGACACAACCCTGGGAAGTGAGATCCTTTTCACAAGCCTTGTGCACAGCATCCACACAGGTACAGCTCATTTTGAATGCAAAGCTTAATATTATTTTTTTCCTAGCAGTTTTCAGGAGGTAAAGAATATTACGTGTCTTTGTTCTTGCAACTACAGACTCATTGACCTGTCCATTTGGTTTTGAAAGTCCAGGAGCTGGAGACCATTTCTGCTCTCATATATATCCTGCCTTGGGAAATAGCAGCTTTGAATCTATCCAAGTTCCAAAGCAGGGAGTTCTTTTGCTTCCCACCACTGTACTTTCTATTTAAAAACAAGCAAACAAAAAAGGGAATCAAATTCAAATTAAAAATGCTAAGTGAGATTTCTGTCTGTAGACCAAGTACAGACTTCAGGTCAGTCAGGTTTGGCTGACATTAAACCAGAAGGAGAGGATTTATTTTCTGTGGCTACATGCAAAACTATACTGAAAGATTCGAGCCCAGAGCCTACTTTTAGGAAGGCTGTTCTGACAAAATTTGTTGACTTGAATGAATGACAACTACTGCAGCTGATTTAAATGCCATTCAAAAGGAAGTTTTTAAAGTCATGAGTTCTGACACTATAACAAAAAACACTACACAAAGTAAGGGTGAGCTGGTGCCTACCTGAGCTGGAGCTCTTCCCCAAGGCAAGCAGGGAGCTTCTGGCTGCAGCACACACAGCTGCTGGAGCCCTGAGCACTGCCAGGTGAGCAGGGGTTGGACTCCACAGCACCAGGGGAACTCTTCTGCAGCTTGCTGTGGTAGATAATAAGAAGATTGAGTATTTCCCAGGAGGAAAAAATAATTTGACCTGCTTTATTAATAGCAAGGGCAATAACCTCAGGCACTAGTGCTGGTTATGTGGTCTTTCATCGGCGAGATATTGGAGTGAGTCAAGTTGTGCTCCATTCTTTACATTCTCTAGAACAGCCCTGAAAAACATGCTGCATGAAAGATGCCATGAATCACCAAGAAAATGGCTTGGTTTGGAATTACTCATCTTTCTTAGCCACGTATTGTACTCTGCTGTTCCACGTGTGACACCGCCTGCTGGGCTGAGCACCAGGAGCTCATCCTGTGCCATTCCCTCACATCTCACTGCCTCCCAGTAACACTGAACATCCAGAACAGAGAAAGAACATTAATTTTATTTGAAGAAAAAAAAAAAAGGAGCAGCCCTGCCTCAGAACAGCTTATCTATGACCCTGCTCCCTGCAGTGTGACTGCCAGTGAGCAGCGGGCTCAATGCCCTCCAATCCAGCCCTTCAAACAAATGACTTCAGAGGGAACACAGCTCTGCACTCAGAATGGCAGCCACCACCAGTGACACACACCTCATCTCTGCCCTTCGTTGTTCAGTTTTACTTCATATAATTTTTTCCTCATTTTGGCAGTGGAAATAGTGACCTGTGCAGGAGCAAAGCTCGTTAGTGGTGGCAACTGCTGACATTTCTGGGTCCAGCACAGTCAGCTGTGCTGAGAGAACTCAGCCTTGTGCTCTGTGCCCTAATGCACCACAGACACACGTTAAAACAAGCTGTGATTACTGCACCTGTATTCCAAGCCACAGACCTACACTCCTGCATCTGTTGCACACCAAAGTGTGAGCTTTTGCCATGACAAAGC